TAATTTAGTAAACCAACATCAGAAGGTCCTAAAGACCACAATGTTTCAGGCATTTCTCTCATGTCAGCTTCATCCTGCTCAGAGAGAAACACAGCCTCTGAGCATCAGGATGAAAGTCGGTGGACTTTTGCTTCACATGTTATGACTTTACAAAGTTGTTTTCTCCACATGTTGCAGGCTGAGCTGTAGTTCCACTCACTCTGTGGTGGGCTGTAATCTGAGCATGAAGCAGCATTCTTAATTTTGAAACCAACGTCTTTCCAATGCGTCATGTGGTTTGAATAAAGAAATGTGAGGTGTTGTGTCAAGTTTGTACATAAGTTCTTGTTTTTCAGGAAGTAAGACTGTCGCCCCAGCAAGAGAACATATGTCTGTATACAACATCACAACAGCCATTGTGACAGGGCTTTTAGCCAGAAAGTCTGTAACATAATCGCTGTCTTCAATTTTCAACACTTTCATGGTAACTTGCAGCTGGCTTAGGGGCATTTGATCATCTCATGATGCCAATACTTTGCCTGCTTCCTACATCAAAAATGAAGCAGTTGTCAAAATGTTGAGTCAAACCTAGGTCATATGAGCAGTAAATGTCATGCATTTTCTGATTTGCATAGACCTGTGTCTCGTTCAGTCTTGTAGCTCGCATTCCATCTTTAATAGGAATTATTGCTATTCCTAGTCTTGTCATTAAGTCTCTGCCCAATAGATTTATTGGACAGTCTGGTGAGATTACCACATGTGCAGAAATCTGGAGTCCTGTTTCTTCATCTGTGATGTGTACAAGTTTAGAGATGCTCTGTCTGTTAGTCCGTCTGTCAGCTGATTTTACCCAAATGGAGTTTTGTGAAGGTTTTAAACCAGGAACTTGTGTTTTCAGGACTGTTTTACATGCTCCTGCATCATATAGAAACTCAACATTCATGGTGTTAACTTTAAGTGTCACATAGGGCTTTTCTTTTAATGCATTCAATAAATCCCAAGCTAAGCAAATGTTGACAACTTCATCTTCAGTGTCTGCACTCGCTCTGGGTGTGCTGGGAGTTAGTCATACATTGTAGCCACCTTTATTGTTAGAGGGGTCTCCTGCATTAGGAAATCCTCTTCTGTGAGAAAAACCTCCTCTGTGCTGCTGAGGGAAGGTTTTCTGGCAGTCACGGGACCGATGTCCAGTTTCACCACATTTCCAACAGCTGTTTGGATCTTCTTGTTGTTGAGGTCGGCCAAACCCACAACCTCTACATCTGGGTCTAAAACCACCTCTGTTCTTGTTCTGCATCGGGCCATTGTAAAAGATTTCTGATTCACCAAAATCATCAGCATAAAACACATCTGTTTTACCTCCTACACCACCTCCTGAACCACTTCCTGTTTTCTTTTTCAACACTTTCTCAGCATGACGCACCCATTGCGTCAGAACTTCAACTGAGCACATATCTATCTCAACCAAATGCTTTCTCACCCAATTTGAAATGTCTGGGCTAAAAGCCTGTAACAAACCATTTTTCAGTTGTTGCTGATAAGCTAAGTCTGCTTATTCAACGTAATCAATTCCACTGTGCACTCTGAACTCCTTTTCATATCTTATTCTGAAATCATCAACCTCTTCACCTGTCTTTCGTTTTATTGCTAATAAAGCTGCATAATCAGCTCTACGTTTAAACGCTGTGCGTACTCTGTCGCAGAGTGCCTCCCATTGTGTTTTGTAATCTCCTGTAAGTCTTCCATCAGTATCATTGTAAGGGAAAGGTTGACCATTTACATCTCACCCTGTGTAATTTCCTCTAACTCTGGCCCAGTGCTTGCCTAAAGATGATTGGGCAGCTTCGCCCGTTTCATGCCCATTAGAGCGATAAGAGTGAATAATCCCTTCCATGTCACTGATCCACATTTCTGGATCCTCAGAGGGACTAGTCACACCCTCCACTGCTTTTCGTGCTTCTTCAAGTGTCCAGGGTCTGAATACCAGTGCAACCTGGCTACCTCCATCAGTTGCACAAGGATTCATGACTTGTATGAGAGGAAAAGTACTGGTACTTGTAACTTGTGGGGCAGAGGTGTGTGTGGAGCTCGCGTCTTCAAGCAGGTGTTTTTGGCTACGAGTGACCACACCTATAGCTTCGCTGCATGTTGGTTGGCTGAAGGACTGTTGGGCAGCTTCACCAAAATTATCTCAATTTGGATAGATAGATTTGGCGGACGACGCAAGTTGGGTGGACTGTGTGGGTTGGGCAGATGGTTCATACGGAAGAGGACGTCTTGGTCCTGTTTCATCATCTTCTGGTTTTACAAATAATGCACCTGATGATTTTTCCAATTTATTTTGTTTATTTTGTTTGGATCTATTTATTTGCTCTCATCTTATTTGTGATTGCTTGCCAGATTTTAGCTTTTGAGCCGTTGTTCTAGTTTTTCCTTCTTTTTGCCCTTAGCAAGTGCTATTTTTTCTTGTAGGATAGAAATAAGCATTTTCCAGGTGTCTACTTTGAGCGTTCGTTCAATTTTGTACTTTTTCGTCCATTTTTCTATGTATTTAATTGAATCTGGGTGTTTTTGGCTCATGAACTTAACATCTTTTACTTGTGCTTCCGGAGAAGACTTACTTTCATTACTTCCCATAATCGGTATGATACTGCGTTGTGTTCTATTAATATATTTGTGTGAGTGGTTCAACTGAAAATGTCTCACGGATGCCTTAATGCCTCCTGAGGAACAGGCTTCTAGATCAATCCTATTTATTGATCTGGTTCCTCACTTAGGGTTGTACTCGGGAAGGCGAGAGAGATTTTAGGTCCAGAGAACCACATCACCTAAAGTCCTAATAGAGGTTTAAAAATAAATCACACGGCCGTCATTTAACACCGCCAGGTTTCAGGGTCACGTGATATTACTCGCAAACCTCAGTTATTCTTGCATTCACTCATTCACACACAAAAGAGAAATGGAGAGGAGAGAGAAAGAGAAAAAGTTGCAGAAAAACTCGTCTAAAGAAAATCGCTGTTGAGCCTCACTGTAAGTCCAGACAGGTCTTGGTAAAAAAAGTCTCACTATTTCAGATCTTGAATAAATTTACCTCACTTTTTACAATGAAGGTCTTGATTTTTATGATTAGACTTTATCCATTTAGTCCTTAACCATACGTTAAAAATCTCACTCCTTTAAAATTTGAGGTCTTGGCTCAACACGAACCAGTTCTGTACCATATTTTCTCACGTATAATGATCTTATTTTTATACTCACTCCTTGTTGTCTGGTGAGGTGTCCGGTCGGATTTCCGTCACTCTGTTCGCCAGTGGTCCGAGTGAGACCTACAACACTGGCCTGGACAGGAACAAAGAACCTCCCAGGGCTTTACCTTACACCGTACACGGGCTTTGCAGCGCATCTGCATCGGATCACACCGTCAAACAGCTATGAGGAGTATCCAGGTCCCATAGCACCATGTAAATGATAGTTTTTTGTGAACCAGTACCTTTAAAATAAATAACCACACAAGAAGACAAGAATGAGATTTAGGAACGGATCTTTGCAAAGAGGGACAAGTGTTTCCGACCAGAGTCAGAACCAAGTCCAACTTGCTTCAGCGTGCGTTCGGTTTTTATTGGTGCAACAAGAAGAACAAATTCTGGCATTTGCTGACAACAAAATCTTTACACAGACGTGGCAGTTTTGATAAAAACAAGGACTGTGAGCAGTTTTGATAAAAAACAAGGACTGTGATTTTAGGACATCTTCTGGAACATTCTGTGATTAGTTACTCTTTCCAGTAAACAAAGTCTTGTGTAGCAGATAACTGGGTGTTGACACGCACACACAGAAACTTGTTGAAGCAAGTTGGCTGATACAATGAAAAAATCCTTTAAAAAGAAGTTTAAATGATCACTCTTAAAAAATTCTCTATCACCATGGATGTGAGTGGGGTCACAAAGCTGTACTTCAGAGACAGCTCCAACATTTTTTCCTTCACTTCTTCTTTCTCACGTCCGGACAACAGCAACCTGCATCACAGCATCTTAATAAATTAAAACAGCTGAGAATAAAGACTGAAACTGATAAAGTTATTTGACCGCATGCAGTTTAAGACAATAATGTTTAGTCCGTATCTGTGTGTGGATGTGTGTGTTTGTTTATCCGTATAGTGTTAATGAATAATCTCATGAATCATTGGATTTTTAAAGAATTTTTCAGCTATTAGTTCAAGATGGCTGCCAAAATTAAGCAAACAAATCAATGCTGCTAATTCAGCCACTTTTACAGGTATGAACTACAATTTGTTGTGTTAGTAGCTTGACGGCGTTCTCAACACATTTTTAATACTAACTGATCACAGGAAATGTCATTATAAAACCTTTGCCTTGAACTCTTGGAGTCAGCTGTCTGTTAGCAAAAAAATATCTCAAACTATTCAATTAATTTTAATGGGAATTTTAAAAAATCATTGGGTATACATCACTGATTAACTTTTGGGAAAAAATAAAAAAACTTAATTCAAGATGTCTGCCACAGCCAAATGCCATTAGGAAATGCACAAATGACCATAACTCAAACAGATAATGAAATAAAACCAGGTGTGCTAGTTGCTGAATATCTCCATCATGTACTTCCAACATGTTGTACAATAATGGTTTCAAGTTTTGGAACAACCACTTAGGGTCAACTGTGTTTATCTGTTAGCAAAATCTCTTATGAACCTGTGGATAGATTTCAATGGACCTCTCAGAAGGTTACTGTTAGCTATAGAGAGCAATCATGTGTGTTTAGGGCGTTGTGAAGAGTGACTTTTGGGCATTGATTTTTGTGCACACACTGAATGAAATGGCAAGATGTGTACATAGGTATAAGGCATTGCCAGGATTGAATTATGCACTTAGTTTTTGTGGCAAAGAATATAAATTCCGTCAAATGTAGACTTGACAAATTCTTGAAAAGTGAATGGCCTTTTGATGTTGACATTACTATACATAATTCATTGCAAAAAGAAAGAAATATTAGTTATATCACACTTACTCTTGCTTTAGAAGCTGCTTAAATGTGAGGTAGGCCGAAACCCTCTGAAGGACGCCTTCAGTCACTGTTTCAGCAGAGGGCTCCACAGAGGTGTTGGTGTTAGAAAAAGTCATTTTTCTACTATTCTGTTATAATGTAAAGAACAATGTAATGTCAGTATACAAGGAGTTTCACCAATGTTCAAAATATTAAAATGATTCTTACTGAAATGGCCACAACTTGAGGACTGAAGGTTTCAGTGTCATTGTCCATGATCTCACCGGCCACAACAATCTCAGAGCCATTATAATACTGACTGAAATTAGTTTGCGTCAGGTTGGTTCCTCCCATGTAGATCATTGTCACATCTGTCAATAGAGGAGTGGCCACTTCTTCATAGAAATCCTGTTAACATACAATGATGATGCATTATGGATGCGTTTTATCTCTTTAAAGTAAAACATGTTCAAGTGACATTTTTGTATGAAAATATAGGAAACCATCAATCCATTTTCCAGCTTTTCCTTTCCTGGGAGCTGATGCCTGTCTCCAGTGGTCACAATGCAAAAGTGGGTGATGGACCTTGACAGATCACAGGTCCATCACAGAAACACATAGACATAAATGAGATACAACCATTCACAGTCTCACTCACACCTAAGCACCTAGTTGCAATTTAGAGGTACCAATTAATCTAACTTGCATGTTTTTGGTCTGTGAGAGGAAATTTAAGAACAAATTAGAAAAAAATATATATTTATAGTGTGGAGAAGATACCTTCAGCTGTAAATCACCATCAGAATCTTCATAAATCCGTCTCGCCATGCCATTGTTCTCCAGTGACATTTTCTCAAGGAACTCAAACTTGACATCAAACCCAAAACCAACACAATAGAGTGGGAACTTTCCTGCAATGGCCCGTCTTACATTTGACTGTATAACCTCAAGATTTGTCACCCCTGCAAAAACAAGAAATAAGCATATCTTAATGAGCTCTGAATTTCTTACATTGGATTGTATAGTTTCAAAATTTATCACTAAAGACACCAGAAGAGTCAAAGTGCACTCAGTTTTTTTTACTTCTAGTTTTCAGCTCTTCGAACAATTATTGTCATACACAAAGAAAAAATAAAAACAAAACAAAATATAAAATAAACTACAATTATTTTTTCACAATTTTCTCTGATAGAACCCATGCAAAAAGAGTGCACCATCTGAGGCTATTTGGATAAATTACTACAGACTGCAGTTTCAGCACAATAGACCTGATTATGGGTAAGAGGAGATTTTAGCTTGTTTTAAATCTACACTGGCATGGATTCTAAATGGGTCATAGGGCTGTTGGTGACTCTTATGTCAAGGGGTAGATGCAGATGATGATGGAAGCCACCAAGCTGAAAATGTAGACCTTTAGAGGCTGTTTCAGAGGACTCCTGCAGAAACAGACAAAGGGGCTGCAGATTTGAAATTCACAAAAAACAAAAGTCAGGTATAAGGAGAATTTTGGGAGGTCCCAAAAAAGGACTGGAGGTTGGTATCAAGAAAATTCTGGCAAACCATTCAGCTTCTCGGTAAAGCAAAACAGAACCCATTTCAGGCTGTGTTTGGTCTTGATGGGGAACTGCTGACATGGGTTGTGGACATTGTTTAGCAGTGAAAGGAACACTTTGAAAATGTATTCCCTCAAGTAAAAATGAAGACTTTGAAGACCTGGTGATAGGCAAGTTCACTACTTTGGCAAAGGCTCTTGGGATATTTTAAAATGTCCTTGATTGTAAGGTTTCATGTGTGGACATTTTTGGCCTTTAGATATGTAATAGTCTGGACATCTTTGGGATTTGTGTTTGACATGGCACTTCAGTATCTCATAGAGATTGAGGACAATACAATAATTTGTCATTCATTCATTCAACCTTTATTTAGACAGGTAAATCCCATTGAGCCTTGAGGACTTCTTTAGAAGAAGAATTGGTTGAATTGGTTCAGACATCTTATCAAGATGCCTCCTGGTTGCCTCATTTAGGAAATTTTGGCATATGATGACTTTGCTGAGGGCATAGTTCATCTGGCCAAAGAACGGTAAGAGATAGGGTGTTTCAGATTAACTCCCTCTGTAAAGTTTTTGATCAAATGAGAACAGATTGGTAAAAGCAAAAAGAAGAAAAGAAAAAAAAACAACAACATACAAACTTTGAGCTGCTTCTCATGGATATTTTGTGGCTCTAAGAAGAAATATTATCTAACTTACTCTTTGATTTTTGTTGCTGTATTTGTCTACAGCAGCCTTAAATGTCAAATTATATTAATATAATGTTAATATTTATGTTGCTCCAACCTGCAGTTGGGTTTCCACCTGTGAGAAGGATCAGGATAGATGCTGATCCTTCTCGGAGGTGTTCATTCAGCATGTGTGCTCCTTCCAGCACTGCTTCATTAATGTTTGTTGCTGAAAAAATAAAGGAAATCTGTTATAATATAGTATAATATGAAGTTGTTGCCGGCTGTTCCAATTCCAATTTTTTGAAAATCTTACCTCCTCTCTCCCTTATATTCTTTGCAAATTCTATGGCCCCCTCCAAATTTAAGTTGGTGGCCTGAACAAGTTCACGTTTCCAGTGGAAAATTTGGCTATCAAATGTAATAACACCAAAGAAGTCATCTTCAACCAAGTCATTCAAAATATTAATCAAAGCAATTCGAGTCTGTTTAAAGGAAATAAAACAATTACTAAGGAAAGGAGCAATGGCACTATGTTTTTTAAGTGTGATCTTATAATATGTACAGGATAATAAATATATCATTATAAATTCATTAACTTCACCTGTTCCATTTTTCTGCCGTGCATTGAGCCACTTTGATCGATAATAAAAACAATGTTTTTTGGTATTCGAGGAAGGTTAGATGGAGCAAAGTGATGAACAAAATAGTCATCTGATGTCTAAGAAAATAAATGTTTAAATTAATATATTATTGATGAAACAAAATAAAAATATATGAATGAAGCTAATGTTTTACCTTGATGTCTCCCAGTCCAGTGTCTCTGTTGACATCATAAACAATAACCAGATCTCCATTCATACCTTCTTCTCCACAACTGTCACAAGTTTTCTGCTGGTCAACAGTTGGATAGAAATACACCCAGGCCTGCAAACCACATGAATCAGATTTTATTGTCTACTGTCGTGAAAAGGGGGAATTAGAAAAACTCTCCATTCCTCCATCCAGCCATTCGTCCATGAATGTTGTGAGCATGATAACTTGAAAAACAAGTGAGGTACCGACATTCATTTTGGTATGTGGCTACATCTAGGCATAAGAAAAGTCCTTTTCAAAAATTGGGTTGTCAGGTCATAACAACACCACCAGCCTGATCAAGAAAGCTCATCAGAGACTCTACTTCCTCAGACGGCTGAGGCGAGCTGGTCTGGGAAGCTCAGTCCTCACCTCCTTCTACAAGTGTGCAGTGGAGAGCATCCTGTGCTCGAGCATCAATGTGTGGCATGGAGGCTGCACAGCTGCAGAAAGAAAAGCTTTGCAGAGAGTGGTGAAGGCTGCACAGAAATCTGTCGGAATCAGCCTCCCCACCATCACAGACATCTACACCTCCAGATGCAGGAAGAGGGCCACCTGCATCATGAAGGACCCCACTCACCCAGCACACACACTTTTTGCCCCACTCCCCTCAGGAAGGAGGTTAAGGAGCATTAAGTGTAGAACCACTAGACTGAGGAACAGCTTCTACCCTGAGGCTGTTAGACTCATGAATCTCTAACTAGAATAATCACTGTGAAAAACCATATCATGTTGCTGCTGATCTGTTTTATGTTGCTGCTGATCTGTTTCAATGTTGATGTGTTCATGCGTGCACATCTGCTCACAGACTCATGTTCATGTTTGTGCTGATGTTCAATGTTTTATGTTATGAGTGCTTAGTGTATATTTAGTTGATGTTTTTCTTAGTTCATATCTTAAATGTTATTACTGTTTTTCTTATACATTTTATTGTTGGATGTAACTGGGACCTTGTGTACATAATTTCTCTCCACCACATGTACCACATGAGGTGCGAATGACAATAAAGAAACTCTGACTCTGACTCTGATAAACCAAGTAAGTTGCCATCATTAAATGTTTATATATTAAATTGTGATCTTGATAAATTGAAAAAGCAGCATGCCAACTTTAATTATGGTGTGTGGTTGCAGCTAGGCATTAACAAGGTCCATACCTGAAATTTTGTTGCCAAGTTCAAATCCAAGATGGTCAGCATTTTAAATACTATCACAATACTGGTCACTGCTAGCATTTGAAGAAACTATGCTTATTTTATATTGCTTAAAAATATAGTTTCCTCAATCAATTAGGGTGGTTGTTGGGTGGCTGAAGATTAATCTATGGTGGCTAAGGCCACCATTGGTCACCCCCTAGTTCTGCCATTACGCCTGATGATGGATAAAATAGCTCATGCCAATTGAAAGAATCCGTCAATTTGATTGCCTTGGACAAGTACAAATAATAATAATAATTATGATATTTTTTTTAAACCACCTCTATTCTAAAACTATTAACATTTACTATATCCCTCAGCAATGGGGGACATCAGTGTAACACTTGTACACTTAAAAGGGGCAGCTGTGGCTGAGTGGTTTGACCAGTCGTCCTCCAATGAAAAAGTTGGGGGTTCAAATCCACCAGTCACATGCTGAAGTGCTCCTGGGCAAGACACTGAACTCCTCATTGCCTCTGATATTTGTTCATCGTCGATGTATGAATCTGAACTAAAGCACTGATTAGTCTTTGTAAATATATAGTATAGTATAGTAGAGTGCTGTATGAATGGGTAAATGATGGCACAGAATGTGTAAAGCGCTTTGAGTATCTTGAAAAAATAGAAAGGTGCTATATAAGTACAGTCCATTTATCATTTAAAATACAGTAAATTTATTTTCATTTCTGTTTGTTTCTGTTAGTTTTTTTTTAATTACCGGTAACTGTCCTATTTTAACTTAAACCTCACACCACAATATTCAACAAGACAACATCAAATTTGGCATGAAAGGATCTAAATGTTGTTATTGTAAATTTTATATAACTTTAAAGCATTTTAAAAGTCATATACCATGGTTAATATGACTAATGATATCCCTTTAGCAAAAACAAACTAGAACATTATGTACAGTTTTAAGAGACAACCATTTAAACAGAAATTTAACAATTACCCCAAGCCGTACCTTGTTGTCTGCATGCGTTTTGGTGATGGCATTAGCCAGGGCTTTAGTGCTCAGTCCTCCTTTCACATCAATGAAACTGATCCCAGCTTTTTCATAAACATACACATCAACCTGTCAGTAAGTAAAAATTAATCAATGTTAGTAGTTTTCAAAGTGCAATCTTCTGTCACAAATACTATATTTATGGATGAACAACAAACTTTGAAGTCTTTGACAGGCTGCATGGGTCGAGCGTGGATCAACAGCTTGTATTTTCCACGTGTGCGTTTCAGTAGTTCCTCATAAGTGAGCTCAAAGGTGACCGTTTTGTGAGCCGCCACAGTTACAGAAGTTTTAAATTCCTCCATGGTCCTCCTTACAGAGCTGCAAGAAAATAAATTACTGTCAAAAGTTGCACTTTGGATGCATGTCATTGTACTATTGGATAGCAGCATTTGAATTATTTTAAAGACCAAAAAGTCATTAAGCTGACACTAAATGTATGTAAAAAGGGCAGCAAATAATAAAATCTCAAAAAGGACCTGCATAAAATTTAGCAATGAACTGTTCCATCAACTTTATTACCTGACAATCCCTGCACTTTCACCACGAGACACAGCCTCAGTGTACTGCTGCTGAGCCTGTTCCTTCGTTTTTACAACTCCATCATAAACCTGATCGTCTATAAACCTGCAGACAGCCAAAACAAAGATTTTAAACAATCCTGAATAATCTTTTTGCTGTTAGTTTTACTACTTTATAAATAATAACAATAATACCAAGATACTGGGTTTTATTCAGCATTGCTTTCCTTCACGTACATTCTGAATTTACTGATGAAGGCATTCTTGGGAATCTGAACATGGAATTGAATGTCTTTGGACTCCTCCATACGGTTGGCCACACAGCTTGTAATGATGGTGGTGGCATATTGGCCGGTGACAGTGGAGTTGATGTGAAAGCTGTAAATGTCCCAGTCATTCTGAACAAACATAGAAGGCAAATTAAAACACACATGCACACACAAACACCATCAGAAAAAGTTTTTTTACTGAGTGAAATGACAATGATGTGTCTGCAAAAACACCTCACTCAATTTTTTTTAAATCAAACAGTTCTCATTTGTCATCAACATGTATGCAAAACCGGTGTTTCACATCATTAATCTGTCCATAAGCCAAAACACTGTTCCAAACACCTGGAAAATAGCTTTTGTTCTACATTTACTGAAGGAAGGAGACCCCACCATACTGAACAACTATCAACCAATCTCTAAATTCTGTATTCTTGCTAAGGTTTTAGAAAAATTGATAAACTCTCAAGTCAAGTAGTATTTGGATTATTTTAACATCTTACTTCCCCATCAGTCTGGTATCAGGAAACAACACAACAAAATAACTGCTTTGCTGAAGGTTTGTAATGATGTTGAAGCATAGGATGCTAAGTATTATTGTGCTGGACTTTATTTAGACATGTCTAAAGCTTTTGACACTGTGGACCATGACATCTTATGTCCTAAGGAATTGGTTTCTCAGATCACACTATGGGCTGGTTCTCTAATGATCTCACAGATCGGAGGCAATGTGTTCAACATAATGGTACCTCTTCCAGCTATCTAGCTGTTAACAATGGTGTACCACAAGGTTCAGTCTTAGGACCCACCCTCTTCACAGTTTACATAAGTAATGTAGGTCATATCATTCCTGATGCATCCTTACATTTCTATGCTGATGACACAGTAGTTTATTGTCAAGCTAAAACAGTTGCTAAGGTTTTCCAGCTTTTACAGTCTGCACTCGACATCATCCAGTCAGATTTGTTCTGTCTCAAACTTGTCCACAATGTGGCTGTGTGTCCTGACACATACATTAATTCACATACAAGAAATATTCTTATTTAGAAGAACAGTGCAATGCTTGTATCTTTAAAGTCAGCCTAAAACTAACTTTCATGTTTTACTTGTGGCACTGAAGTTTTTTATATGTTTTTTTTATTTATTTTTTTTGTAATTTTGAGCTAACAGTAAGAATAAAGAATACATATTTATGCTGTTAGATACATTTACTAAAAATGTTTTTACTAAATTTAGGTAAAACAATCTAACATCAAATTAAATGTTTAATCCTATATTAGAGATTTTGATTAGTTTTCAATTAATGGACATTTGACCTTGGATCAGTTATGTGTGACACTTTGTTTTTGTATGTTTTTTTTTTTATTTATTTTTTTATTTTTACATTTGCTGTCATTATGACCCACCTGCACCAAGTCACCAGGACAAATTCGATACAAATTTGGCAATGAACTTGATTCTTGTTGATCCAAAAGGGGAGTCATCTGATTGAGATAATCTTTAACTTTAAATATACAAGTACCAATCATTGTTGGTGAAGCTAATCAGGACCCATAAAATATACCCTGACTTTCAGAAAACTAAAAGTAAGTTTCAGTTTTTTAAACAACTTTTTCGCCTTCAACTTTATGTGCACTCGTCTACCGCCCACCTCGGTCTAAGGATTTCATAAATGAGTTTTCTGATTTCTTGGCTGAAATCACACCAAAATATGATCATGTTTTCATTATTGGGGACCTTAATTTGCATGTGTGCTGTCAGGAGAAGCCCTTGGTTAAGGACTTTTTAGATTTATTGGACTCATTTCATCTAACTCAGCATGTAAACGGCCCCACCCAAGAGCGCGGACATACACTGGACCTTGTTTTAACACGTGATGTGACTGTTAGTAATCTTGAAATTGGTGATAATGTTTTTCAGACCACATGCCAGTCCAGCTTGAGTTCACCCTCCCCCATCTAACTCCTAAGTCGTGCGTTCCTGCACGTAGTAGCCGGGCCATTAACCACTTCACTGCCGCACGTTTCACAGATGTGTATAACTCTGAAATAATAATTCAGCCCCCGGTGTTTCTCACCACCACCGAGGAGCTGACATCCCAGTTCAACTTTGTCTGCTTAAAGACTCTGGATCATGTAGCTCCTGTTAAAACTAAAAAAATCAAAACTCAGAGCAGAACCTTGGCTGAATGATGTCACCAAGGCCGTTAGGCAGCATTGCAGGGGGGCGGAGCGCAAGTGGAGGAAAGACAGGCTGCAGGTCTCTTTTCAAATACTTAGAGTTGGTGCCGTTATCAGAAAGCAGTAAAAGCTACTAAATCCAAATACTTTTCTGATATCATTACCTCAAACTCACACAACCCACGTGTCCTTTTTTCTACCCTAAATTCTGTTCTCCACCTCACTGAATCATCATCTCTGACTGAGATGTGCGAGAACTTGCTACATTTCTTTTTGGAAAAAAATTGCAACCACCCGGGCTCTCATTTCCCCTCCAACTCATCCATCCCACCTCAACCTGTAGCTCTATTTGACCATTTTGAACCCATCACTCTATCTTCTCTAGAAGAGGTCATGTGCAGCTTGAAACCTTCTGGTTCCCCCTTTGATGTGGTCCCTCCTCGACTACTAAAGGAGACTTTTCCTACTCTAGGTCCATCCATTCTTGCTATTGTAAATAGCAGTTTATCCACTGGCGTGGTGCAAAAAACCTTTAAACATGCTGCTGTCCAGCCTCTCCTAAAAAAAATCAAACCTTGACCCCTCAGTCGTATCCAACTTCCGGCCTGTCTCCAGACTCCCATTTGTTTCGAAGCTACTGGAGAAAATAGTCGAGTCCCAGTTGAAGTGCTACCTGGAGGGTCACGTTATCTTAGAGCTATCCCAATCTGGCTTTAAACCTCTCCACAGCACTGAAACTGCCCTACTGAAGGTCTTTAATGACATTTTCTTAATCACAGATACCGGTGATTCTGTGCTGCTTGTCCTGTTGGACCTCACAGCCGCCTTTGACACCATCGACCATGAGTTTTCATTGCTAGGTTGGAGCAGTAGGTGGGCATCACAGGGTCAGCCCTCAATTGGTTCAGATCTTACCTCGTTGACAGATCCTTTTGTGTCTCCATCAAGGATTTTAGTTCTGCAGCGGCAGAGCATAAATGGGGGGTTCCGCAGGGGTCCATCCTGGGTCCCCTCCTATTCTCTTTATACCTGCTGCCACTTGGTGCTATTTTCCGGAAACACAACATACCCTTTCACTTCTACGCTGATGACTGTCAAATTTACTTCCCCCTAAGACACAATGGTGCATGCTCTATTCAACCTCTGCTCGACTGCCTGGCTGACATCAGGGACTGGATGGCTTTAAATTTCTTAAGTTTCAATGAAAAGAAGTCTGAAGTCATGTTGTTCCCTCCCAACTACACAATCACAAACCACTGCATCGACCTCTCTGCTCTAACCCTGTCAGAAAAACAGAGTCACTAATCTGGGCGTGATAATGGACCCTCCCCTGAAACTTAACAATCACGTAAACATGATTGTTAAATCATGTTTCTTCCAACTGAGGTGGCTGTTTGAACTGAAGCCCATATTATCCAAAAATAACCTGGAGACAGTAATACATGCATTCATTACATCTAAGCTTGATTACTGCAATTCACTCCTGTTTGGTATCAGTCAGACCTCCATTGCATGACTACAACTGGTCCAGAATGCAGCAGCCCAATTTTTAACTAGTACAGGCAAAAGAGAGCACATTACTCCAGTTTTGGCCTCACTGCACTGGTTACCGGTTCACCTTCAAATCCAGTTCAAAATACTACTGTATGTCTACAAATCGCTGAACAGTTTCGCACACCCCCATCTCTCTGATCTGCTACAGCCGTATCTCCCACCATGTTCCCTGAGGTCAGCGGACCAGTTGCTCCTCACAGTTCCAGGAACTCGTCTTAAGCGCAGAGGTGACAGGGCCTTCTCTGTAGCAGGACCAAGACTTTGGAATGAGTTGCCTCTGCTTGTCAGAAAGGCCCCCCTCCCTCTCGGTTTTCAAGTCCCGTTTAAAAACCCACTACTATTCAGTAGCTTTCAACACCAGATGATCTGTGTTTTGAACCTGTATGCCCCACACTGGTTAGTTGTCATATTTATTATCTGCATCGTTTTTATGTCTATATTCTGATTTACCTCATTTTGTATATTGCTTTGTGTGTTGCCTGTTTTTCTGTCTGTACAGCACTTTGTTTGGCCTTGTCGCTGTTTTAACTGCTGTATAAATAAAATGGTATGGTATGGTATCTAACCTTTTTTTTTATTCTACAACAAAGTGTTGAACCTGGGGTACAAAGCTTAAAGGTTTGTAAATTTGCTTTATTATCTTAATCTGAGGCAGAGCTCAGTGAGACAAGTGACAGAAACATGCTGAAAATAAAGTCAATCATCAGAAACTACAACTATTTATCAATAGCTGTTTTCTTGCAGTTTAGCTTTTCGTCCTCTCTGTTGTCAGACTGTACCTTGTTTGGTTGTGAAGCAGCCAAAGCCAGCAGCAGCCCGAAGAAGGTGAGCTGCACCACAGCTCTCCCCATGTTTCCGCTAAGCAGAATCAGCTGGAACTGTCCTTAAAACTCAAAGTCAACATGTGATTGTACTCCCACCTTCAAAGCTCAGTCGCCACCATCAGCACCCGCCTCCATGATAAACGTGAAGACTAAAACAAATCCCCCACAAAGCAGTAATTTGCCCTAAATTAGCTGAGAATGTGATATTTTCTCTTGGCATCGAATACAGACATGTATCACACTTAGGTCACGTTGCCTGCCTAAATGCTCCAACTCAGAATACAGTGCTAAGTTGACATTTTTTGGTATGTTGCTTGTTTAGTGAGTGCTGTTCTGTAAATATCTCATATAATTAACAAAATGTACTAAATCATATGTAAATTAAATGTTGAATTTGTTTATTTTATGATTTATTTTTATTTATTTATTTTTTCCATCCATCCGTTATCTTTACCTGCTTCTTCCTTTTTGTGTCACTGGCGCCCATGTCCAGCCACAGTGCGAGACACGGGGGACATCCTGGACAGGTCTCCATGCAGTCCATCACAGGGACACAGAGGCAAATGAGACAAACAACCATTCACAGCTAGGGACAATTTAGAGTTAGCAATCAGCCTAACATGCATGTTTTTGGTCTGTGGGAGGAAACTGGTGTACCCGGAGAAAACCAACACATGCACGGAGAGAACATGCAAACTCCACCCAGAAAGGTCCTCGGACAGGGATTTGAACCAGAGTAACCTGCTCGCTGAGAGGCAGCATCTCTACCAACTGTGACACCATGCTGCTCATTTTTATTTGGAAAATGTTATTTATTTATATTTGGTCAGGGGTGGGGGGGGTGGATTTGAGCAACAAAGTTATAGAGTAGATTAGTGTTAGCTCTGTTGATGCAATGTAGTGTTTTTGAAGCAACAAACAAAAAGACCCGTGAAAAATTTTATTAGTTAACCTTTAAATGTTTAAATTTATTAATATATATATATATATATATATATATATATATATG